TCTCACCCGTAATCAGTTACCCAGCCTATACGCCCTTCTCCAACAGCGCCGGCTCCGAAGGCTTAGACATGTCCACCGTATGCCGGATGGTAGCGGTTGCATTTAGCAATTTCAAAAATAAAAGTGACACGCTTAAATTCATTTAGTTGGGGCACCAGGGAAAAAAGCTCATCAGAGTAGTTGCCATGAAAATATTTGTAGAAAAGACAGAAGCAAGCCACATCACGTCTATGAGTAAGTGACTGACGTTGAGGGGTTTGATAAGGATCTATTACATTGCAGATAAATAGATAAAAACAACAAAGTTGAGGAAAATGGAAGAGAAGGGAGTTCCACAAAAAAGTTCTATGCCAACAGTTTCTTCTCTTGCACTTCTTGCTTATGGAATTCTCTTCTGGCTTAATGTTTCCAGTTAACTTCAAACATTTACATGCATTGTCAACCGTTGAATACTATCTTCAGGGACATATAATAAGGAAAGAGTGTCCGGAGAATCTAACACTTACATGATATAGAGAAGTTAAAAGAAAATGGAAGAAAAACAGTGAGTAACCAACTTAACGAGTTTTGTGAATGGATGGCAGAAAAGGAGTTGGGAGGGATAGTAAAAAGATGAAAACTGCTAAGAACTACAAAGAATAGGAAGTTGTGAAGAACCATGATCGCACACGCCCTGACGGGACACGGCAGAGATAAGAAGTCCCTATATTTGTGTTAGAGTTAGATACGTTATTTTTTTCTATGTTCATGATAGATAGATAGATAGATAGATATATCGGGTAGCAATTATGACAGCGAATGTCATTTGCCTGAAAACTGTATGCACCGAAATCATTAAACTGAATTCGCACTCGGACCAATGGTTCGCAACCAAAAATTTAGAAAACTAAATGAAGATGACTTTTTTAGAATCTGTCTATATTTCTGAGATTATGTACACTATTTCCATTATTCGGACTATTGTCCTCATCTTTGTCGCCATATTTATTACAACGTTTCGGCCGTTGTACGCTCCGGTCTTCTTCAGGTGGTTGGAATGTCGAACTGAACCCTTTATTTCGCTCACTGGGGTAGACTGTTCTAGTTCCACCTGCAATGTTTAATTGATTTCAGTTGTCAGTTATCTCCTGTTAATTCCCCTCTCCAAGTTCTCCACTGCCTTAACCGGGTATTGAACTCACACTATTTGGGACCTGTCACTGGATCTAACTAACGCCTTTATCCACTGTGCCATGTGTCCTTGAGGACTTTTTATTTGAATAATGCTTTTTTCAATAGTGTATTATTTAATAGTTTTTTTGTTTATTTGCGACAATGAATAACTTTTTATCCGTGAATGCATCACTGAAGTCTTCATGCACGTCATCTGGTCGCATTTCTTGTACGAATTCACGTATTTCTCTTTTGCCAACCAATTCTGTTGTTCATCGTATTTGGCAGGTCAGAGGGATTGCATTTCATGTCGTCATAAATCTGTTAAATTCTTCAATCCCACTTTCCTCGTTATATACCCTATAAATTTCAATTGTAGTTCTTTGTTTCTAACGAAATTTTCTTGTTTCTTAATACTTTGCTTGGCTTTTGGGAGGCATCTTTCACTCTTCCAAATTAGTATTAGTAGTATGCTGTTTCTTTTGCTGACAATGATGCATTCTGTCTTCTTACAATTGATGTTTAGTCCTTTCTTTTTCACTTTCCTTTAGTACGTTCTGTAGGATTTCATGGTGTTTCCTTTCTGTGTCTGCTATCAACACTTATATCTTATATATAACAGTTATCGCCCTTTAATTATCTACTTTTGGACTTTTTGTTTTGGCGAAGTGAAAAGTGATTATTTAAATTATTTAAACATTATTATTAAATATCAGGTATAACTATGTATATTACTATTATTATTAAATATCAAATATAAGTATGTATATTACAGCTCTCTTTTAAATAAAATAATTTAAATAATTTAAGTAATTCTATTACATTTATTTGTTTTAAAATGAAATATAGTCTATTAGTAATTAAAAGTAGTTCAATACAACGTATTCTTATCCAAACACCTCTTTTAGAAAGAATATTTATGTATACAAGTATAAATTTAACGGATAAAAATGCCGAAAACCTTTTTGTCGTTTAAAAAAACCGGACGACATACGTTGAACGGATGTCATAATTCGTTGAAAAATGCAACCCTATTCTACCTAGACATGAACTCTTTTCGAAAGTAACTCAAATTTGATACAATAGTTGTTAATAAAAATGAACATGCTACGGCCCCTGTCTAAATGATCGGATTTCTCTGTATAATTGGTAACAAATATTATGAATGTATGTGCTTTTAAAACTCAGTGAATTTCAAAATAAGTTATTCCAAAATTCGCTTGAAAATGAAACAGAACTAGTGCTTTTAACTTAATTTAATTAAATAATAAAATTTGAAGTTGTTAGTTTCTGTTTTTGAAACATGGCAATTCCTGTGTAGCGAAGGAACCATATTTTTAAACCAGTTAATTTACAATATTTATGCTCTGTAAATTTACATTGAGCGGTGTTTTGTAGAAAATAAAAATCTCAACACTTGATTATATATCTTACTGTTCTTTCTTTTTACTATATATATATATATATATATATATATATATATATATATATATATATATATATTATAGTGGCTTTTTATTCTCTTTATATATATATATATATATATATATATATATATATATATATATATATATATATATATTATTATTATTATTATTGTATTATTATATTGTGCAGTATTTAATGGAAAGTGCTCAATATCAGTGATAGAGCTAACATATTGAATTGTATGGACATGAGTTTGTGACCCTGGGTTTCCTGCCTTTGCGATCATCAAACAAACTGGTTTATTTTTTTTTTTAAATTGGATTTATTTATGCTTGGTTTGATGGTGAGAGGGGGAATTTTGTCTGATGATTGCAAAACGTGAAACCCAGGGTCACAAACTCATATCCATACAACTGAATATATATATATATATATATATATATATGTGTGTGTGTGTGTGTGTGTGTGTGTGTGTGTGTGTGTGTGTGTGTGTGTGTGTGTGTGTGTGTATCTATACCTAGACTCGAGCATCGTTCGTCATATGTTTTGATGTTGGGAATATATAGTCTTTGCCACAGAGAATAATATTAGATATTATCATTTTCATATATTTCACCTGTCACATTGCGTGTTTGTAAATTTAAGCTGATTTCATCACATATAATATAAAGCTGACTAGAGTTTCGCACTGGGCTGCCAAATAGCAGGTAAATAGAAATTTTTCGCTATTCTTCTATGTGCCGTGTCCCTTCAGGACGTTGGAGATCATGTCTCTCTACAATTTCCAGTCCTTTGTAGCTCTTTATAAAGGTTGTCTTTTTCTTATCTCTCCTAAACCTGTTTCACTATCCATTTACTCAACCTTGCTGGTTAGTTTATGTGTTCTTTTCCTCTGTCCATCTTGCCTTCAATGTGTCCTGTGAGTATCAAATTTTCCAAACCGTCTTTCCTCACTATATGACTTGGTAGTTTCAGTTGTCTCTTTCTGTCGTTAATTGTCCTTTTTGTTTCCATTTTCACTAAAACTTAGTCATTGCTCGCATGTTTGGTCCATGTTATTCTCAGAATCCTTTCGTAGAGCCACATTTCTGTTGCTTCAAGTCTCTTCTTTATCTGTGAAGAGATTGTTCAGCATTTACTGCCATATAGGAAGACTGATTTTACTCAAAATTCTAACTCTGAATTTTCTTTCAATTCTATTTTGCTATAAAGGCTATCTTATTTTTAGAAGATTTTTAATTAAAGAATTTAAACTTTTCATCAGTCATTGTTAGGGTCGAATATTCACCATAAGAAACTCCTGGGCTAATTGAATTTGGTGGCCTCTTCATTAAGTGTCTATAAAAAAAAAGATATATATTTTAGATGATGCTTTTTTGTTTAAAACATGAAACACTAACAAAATCATGCAAAAATTAAAAAGCTACAACAAAAATCAATATCTAAATAAAATAAAATGCATCAAAATCTAAATAGGATCCTTAAAGTGTCCCCATTAAATTTAAAAGACCCACTCCAACTAGAGTGGCCCAAATACTCTAAATTGTATCAAATTATTTCAAAAGAGCCCCATTAAATCTGAAAATAAACACATCTCCTTGTTCTTATATCTTTATTTTATTTTAGTTTTATCAGGGGTCAAGCCTAGAGGGCCCTTAGAGGCCCCTGGGCTGCAGTCCATACTAGCTCATATATAGATCTAACACTACATTCGAAGTTAACATTGGATTGAAAAAAAAGACATTCGTAAAAATTTTGCAATTGCTTTGAGTGCTGAATAGAATTTTGCTTACTTTTTACTGTTAACTTTCTAAATTAAAACTTCAGTAAATATATTTAAATGATTGCAATCTTCAAACAAAGATATTTAAATGACTGCAATCTTCAAAAAATGATATTTAAATTATTAAAATCTTCAAACAAAATATTTAAATGATTGCAAACTTCAAACGAGATATTAAAAAAACACCCGTGATCATTGCTACAATTAGTGCTTTTGGTACCTCCCATTTGAGATGAGAAATATATAAATTATACGATTTTGTGGACATATTTTGGGGTTCATCTATAGTATAAACTACTTTCCTTCGATAAATTGCAGAAAATTTTAAGCAATATGTGTATATGTTTTTTGGGGTTTTTTTTAATCTTTTCACCCTAAACAAGTTGGGAACGCAACAAATTGCGCAGGTAGTTACAGAGAGTGAAAATGAGAGAAAAGACTGAGTATCACACTGAATTAGTATGAAGTGAATGCATATTCTCTCAGCCTGGATTTGAACTCGGTTCGCTGAATCTATTCAATTTAATTGGTATCATGTTATTCTTGTACTAAGGGCAGAGTTTTTTTTTTTTTTGCAGGATCAAGCGACAAAATGGTAAATGACCAATTGGTCCGTTCTCATCTCGAGGGATATGGGATGGCGTCCAATGTGAAATTAAACCAAGAAACTAAGAAGAAGATTAGAGCTGGGGCAGAAATTCACACCTTTGCCTTCGGTCAGTCTCCTTTCCCTGTCATGGAAGAAGCAGTAAAGGGACTTAGGGAATATGCTGAGGAGAATGATTACGTGCCAGTACAAGGTAAACGCAGTTTCTTTCTTTCTTTCTTTCTTTCTCTATCTCTCTCTCTCTCTCTCTCTCTCTCTCTATATATATATATATATATATATATATATATATATATATATATATAAAGGGCAGGAGTAATAACGGAGTAGCGGCTCGGACTGAGGAATCGGAGAGCCGGAGTTTGAATTTCAATCGAATCCATTACATTCACTTACGTGCTTGGGAAAGGTATTAATCCTCTTCCTCCAGCTATGGGTAAGGAGGACAACTGGTCTAGGAGAAGGACAACTCTAAATTCAAAACCTGCGGAGGGACCAGGTCTCTGTATTCGGCCCTTCAAAAGGTGTGGTTGGTTCTGCACAAAGCCTTCACCACTATAATCAAATCATATGTGCTGTCGGTTCCTAGGAACTGAGCTGCTTAACCCTCATACGTCGAATACGACGGGAGAGTCCACCATATATATTTAATGATACATTTATTAAAAATATTTTACAATGCGCACGAAAATTTCTATGTTTTCAGACTTTTTAAGTTTTTTTATCTCGTCATCAGGCAATATTTGATAACTTTGGTGAAAAAGATTTACATTTGAAAATAGAAAACGATATGTTTACTTATTAAAGAGTTAATATGGAGTCGGGGGATCCAGATTTTTAGATCTTATGCGTGTGTCAATTTTAACTAAAAAGAAGGTCAACGCTAAATTTGAAAAGTTAAAAATATAGGTTAGATGTGTTAGGGGATATATGGCATTCATACATGTCCCGGGGAATCATTTTTACTAAAGTTACCGAATATTGCCTGATGGCGAGATAAAAAAAACTTTGAGTCTCGAAGCATCGAAATATGTGTCGTAATATAAAATATTTTTTAATAAAACTATCATTAAAAATATTATTCTCTGCGTAGTATTGAGCATTTTTAAAAAAAGTAAATGCCAGAGAACTGTGGATTCTAAAAGTGTTTGTTCTTTCTCTTCATTTATATATATATATATATATATATATATATATATATATATATATATATATAATTAAATAAAAAAGACCACTTCAAGGTTCCATGTAATAAATTATTTCACCACAGCCAAGGACTGTGGTGAAATAATTTATTACATGGAACCTTAAAGTGGTCTGTTTTTATTTAAATTATTTGCTCTGAATTTACATTGAGCTCTCTGGATTTTATCCTCCTTAGGTTTACTCATACAGATTACCTAGTTTTTCATAAACTATATATATATATATATATATATATATATATATATATATATATATATATATATGTGTGTGTGTGTGTGTGTGTGTGTGTGTGTGTGTGTGTGTGTGTGTGTGTGTGTGTGTGTGTGTAAGGAAGAGGTTATATTTGTTCCAACGAGAGAAAAGTGTATATTTTAAAGATAAGAGAGAAGCCGTAGACGTTTTTGGTTTTAATGTGCATGTTTTAAATATATATTATACTTTATTTTCCATATTTTTATGCACGTCTTTCGGGTCATTCGATACACGAAAGACAATGGTTAAACATCGGAAAACATAAGGAAAAATTAATTCCTTTAAATAATATGCGGAAATAACCACTCCCGCCTGATGAAGGTCGAAAACCTGAAACCCGCGTAGCAAAAATATGGAAAATAAAGTATAATATATATTTAAAACATGCACATTAAAACCAAAAACGTTTTGAGTTCACTTTATCTTTTTATATATATATATATATATATATATATATATATATATATATATATATATATATGAATAAAGACAAAAGGAAAACTTATCTTACCTGACACGTTTTGTCCGCTGGGGACTTTATCAAGGCATAGTAGTAGTGATACAAAGAATAAATCGGTAAAGTTAATGTAATTAATGGCGAATTCAATTCGCTAACAGATTTAGTAAAGCATTAACCTACTAACCATACGTTGAATGACGCGATCCTTGTTTTTTAAAAATTGTAAAATGGATTAGATATGCCGTTGATAGGATAGTACTTTCGATAATTCTTATTATCGTCATCGGGCATGGATATTATTTTTCCTTTTCGGGTAAATTCAGGTAACTTCCGAGACGAAAATAAATGTAATACAGGCCTTTGTATATATATATATATATATATATATATATATATATATATATATAGAGAGAGAGAGAGAGAGAGAGAGAGGGGGGGCTTACAGCTACATCACATTGAAACTCCGGTTCCCGTACGAACACTGAAGTTAAGCAACGTTGAGCTTGGATGGATGACCGCTTGGGAATATCAGGTGTTGTGAGCTTGAATGTGCGGATGGTGTCATCGATAACGGTTCGGAATTGTTAATCAGGGAGCCGAGTTCCACTTCTCGTTGGGTTCGTTATATTTACTTACGTGCAAATACAGTTGGAAAGGTCTGGATTTATTTCTCGCTCCCCCATCTATGGGTTAATTAGTAGGACTTTTATCACTATACCATTATTATCTCAAAATCTCGGTGTAAAAATATTTTATGACTTTCGTACAAAGTGTTGATAAACCGTAAAAAATGAATCCATCAATCAATTAGCGAGATAGAGAGATAGAGAAAGATAATGACGTTTTGCTTTGATTTTTATTTTTATATTTTCACTATTATTTTTAAATATACCACATTATAATAGAAGTTTATGCGAGGAAAGAAGATATGAACTCAGACGTAAATTTTTCGTAGAAAATTTGAAATTCAGTACATTTCCGATGTAAAATTTTGTTCTACTTCTCCGGCTACATATATAAAACTGAGACCATCCGGCCTATTTGTCTGAAGAAGGTCCTTCTAGAAACGAAACGCGTTATGCAAGAATTATTTCAAATTTTTCATTCGATTACTCATTATTTTGTCTGATATATATATATATAGATATATATTATCGATTACACCACTAGCACATCTATGCTTAGAGCACCTGCTATTCTCAAGCGGCCACCTGTCTAGGCATTGACCAGGCTCGACGTCGCTTAACTTCGGTGATCATACAAGAACGGGTTATAATAAAAAATAGAACCACCTGGCATCACGTTTAAGGGAGATATCTCTTGTACAACAAAACGTTTCAGGCATGACTGATTAAAAGTATATTTATACACATAGTAAATTATATTATTATTTTTTATATTATTTTCTTTTCTTTAGGTATTCCGGAATTGCGAGAGGCAATCAGTGATTTCCATTACAAATATGATAAAATCCGATTTTCTCCTGATAATATCGTCGTTGGACCTGGCAGCAAAGAACTCATCTACTCATTAATTAACGTATTTAATGGCGGTAAGATTATTATTATTATTATTAAATGAACAAAATGATTGACGGGTGAGTTCGATTGGATTTATATTAAACTGTTTGATTAATTCCTCTTAGTAACTAACCAACTAAAAGAAATTTTTAAGATGAACGCACCCATCATGAAACTCACGGCTAACTTGCATTCCATTCACGCTGGCTGCGTTTCATTCGTTTTGACGCGTTTATTTACCAGCACAACCTCTTTTCTCAAGACAAGCTATGTTTGTAAAAAGACTTGTAATTTTTGTATATTTTTTATATTTTTATACTTGTATACAATTTTTAAATATAACTTGAACAAGACAGACATACTGTCAAAATATTGTGGAACATTCTTGAATACTGTGTATTTTTTTCTTAAATGGCGCTCTTCTCTAAGTGTTGCATTATTATTATTATTATTATTATTATTATTTGTTTCTGTTACGTTTCCTCCTTTGTATCCCATAGACCCGGTCCAAACTATGGTTCTTGGCCTCTAAAGGAGAATTGTCATTTAATTGATAGCACTTTTCTTAGTATATGGGGTGTTCCTAGTAGGACGATCTCCTGGGTAATTTGTATGTTGATATTACCTGCAACACTGTTACTAAAATTGTTCATTCCTTTTCTCACGAGAGCCAGAGCTCGGATTATTATTGGTACAGACTCAGTCTTCATTCTCCACATCCTGCTAATCTCGATCTCCAGGCCCTTGTATTTGAACAATTTCTCTATAATTTTATGGAGGTCTTTCAGATTTTGGAACCTTTTTCTACTTCACTTAAAAGTGACAATTGTCCTCGTAGATTATTTATTTCGGTTTCTATTATTTCTTTCCACACTGGCATTTTTCTTTTTCGTTTACGTTGTGTTTTTACTTTTTCACCTATTGTTTCTGCAATCGTTGCCGAGGTTGCATGCATAAGATGATTAATTTCTCTCAGGTTAATTGGTCTTTCCATTTCATCCCTTATTTTTTCTAATTGCTTGGTTAGCGAGGTTGATGGTTTCCTTCAGTTGACGGTTCTTTCTTGCTTTTGGAATTGTTGGCCTTTCCTCAAAAGACATTTTATTTACATTCTCTCATTTATATCGGATGTTTTTGTAATCTCTATTTCTCTCTCATATTCGTCATTATCTTCATCTATTTGCTTGTGTACCTCATAGGGATTATTACAACTTGTTTCTATTTGTTCCTCTGCATGTGTCTCCTCTGAGTTGTTGGCATTTAACCCCTTGATGTTAAATGTGTGATCTATTTTTGATGTTTCTTCGTATGCTTTCGAGTTCTATGTCAGATATTCATTTATTTCACATCTAACATTGGCTAGTTTGTTGTCATCGATGTTTAGTCTGTTTGAGGAGTATTTTTTCTCGCCAGGTACTCTAGGGGGTTTAGTCGTTGTTGGATATATCGTATCGGTGTAAAAGGCTATCATTACCTCAATATACTCTTCCCTAGACCATTTATTTGTTGTTCTTTTTGTGGTATTTTCTTTTCATGAATATAGAGGTCTTCTGTGAGGACTGTCCTTGGCGCGATGTCCCTCCAGTTCTCGTTGGCTAGAGTTTGTTCCATTTGCAGACTTTTTGATCTCAGTCTGGTTCCTCACTGAGGATCGCGGTACTTGTTGACCCGCGTGACGACCGATGCAGTTTAGCATTATTTTTCGTTGTGTCAGCATTATAGTTAGTTCGTATTTACCCATACGTAGGGGGCTGGCTCGTAGGCGCCAGAGCATATTCATACCATGGTGGGCCATCACGTTCAGGGGACCGAGACGCGTCCTGCTATTTCTTTTTTATTATCATTGCTGTTATTAATAGCAACGGTAAAATCTTCATTTATATGCATCTGGAACCCAAGGAGACACAACTTGCTTCATGAGACTCCGACATAACTTCAGTTTTCTTCGGAATTTTCATTGACTTTTTCTCTTTTTCTCTCTTATGTTAAATAAAATGAAACTATATTCAAATCTTCATAATCCTGTTATTAAACGAATATGTTTTAGCCAGAAATACAATTAATATATAGATATTAATAATATTTAAAGAATAAAAATTGCATATAAAATGCTAATAAATAAATAAATAAATACATAACAAAAGAACATCATCATCATCACTATTATTATTATTATTATTATTATTATTATTATTATCTTTCATTTCTGTTATATTCTCATTTTGTCCCGGCTCATAACCCAAGGCCTATGGGATCATGACATTTTCATTGAACATTTTTGTAAAAAAAAATAAAATAAAACAACCTATTATCATACATATTTTACATTGATAAAACCTTCGTATGATATGAGGTGTACTTTTGAGAACAATGTTTTGTATTTCTTTAAGGCATGGGCTACCAGGAATCTCTTGAATGGGCCTATCAGAACCTTTTCCAATAAATCCGAGTGCTCCAACTAAAACTGGAATTATTGATGTCCTCATGTGGCACATTTTTTAGATTTCTACTTCAAGATCCTTGTATTTTGATAGCTTTTTGAATATCTTCAAAGAAAGATTACAATCCGCAGGGACTGTCATGTCAATAAGAAAGCACATTCTGATTTTGTGTCTTTAATCACAATGTTTGGGCGATGAACTTTGATAGTTCTGTCTGTGTGTATTGTAAAGTCGCATAAAATTGTTACCCTTCCTATGTCTGTAACCGGGTCTGGGTGGTCTTCATACAAATTTTTTACTGTTTACTTCCCGCAAAAGTTTCATGTTTCCAGTGCAGATATTGGCTTACACTGTCATGCTGGATTTTATATTCAGTGGATGCCAATACCGTACAACCTGATGCAAGATAGTCAATTGTATCTGGATATTCATCACAGAATCTGCATTTTGGGTTAATACAATATTTCAGTATGTTTACTTGATAATTTGTACTTAGCAGGCATTGGTCCAGTTCATCAAGAAAAAAAGCTTTGATTATTATTTCAGCTTTGATTATTATTATTATTGCTGTGGTTGTTGTCGATAATATCCTTCTTATTAATAATAGTAGCATTTCCTCTTCCACACGGATTTTCGTTTTCAAAAACGGAAATTTTACATTATGGGAGTTCTCCATGAAAAAAATGTAGGTTGCAACTGGTGTGACCAAAAAGTTTATTTATTGTTATTATTATTATTATTATTATTATTATTGTTATTATTATTATTATTATTATTATTATTGTTATTATTATTATTATTATTATTATTATTGTTATTATTATTATTATTATTATTATTATTATTATTATTATTATTATTGTTATTATTATTATTATTATTATTATTATTGTTATTATTATTATTGCGTTGTTGTTTATTGTTTTACTGGATTAAACCATTGGATTTACTTACGGATTGACTCAATGAAATACACAGGAAACTGCAGCATACTCTTCAGCTTTCATTCTTAGTTTTACTTTTACTATAAAAAATATCTCTATACTTTCACAGTGTTTCGTTTTTACCTAGAGCTCCATTATTTGCCAATAGCTGGGATCCTAACAGGTGCTACCACCCCGGATCAGAGTGGACCTGGGAACGGCAGCAATTAAGAAGCCGTTCTACGCTCTTTAACACCGCCAATATCCCGATGAAAAGCCTTGCTGCCGGATATAGTTTATCGTCATACCCAGGATTAGTAAAGATAAAGTAGTAGTAGTAGTAGTAGTAAAACATTGTTGTCATTATTATATATGTATAGCAATGCATATTCCTCTATTCACCTAAATAATATGAAAAAGGATGAAGCGAATGCATAAGAATATTTATTTATTCTAAATTAAATTAACAAAACAAAACTGCTCCCATTTAACCACCATAGAGAAAACTTTTCTGTCTGCCATCAGCATGGCCAACGCTAGACTGTTGGAGAGCAACACACTGTGCCTTCTTGACCTCACATTTTCAATTGACTTGAAGTGGAGTGACTACATCGAATCAATAGCCGCATCTACTGCAAAGCTGGATCATTGTGTCGTGCCAGAAATTTTTTTTCTCGAGGTTCTTAACAAATTCCAAAGAAGGATCTTTAATGTCATCGAATCTAACCTGGTATCTCGACTTCATTCACTTTCTCATCGACGCGACGTGGCTTCCCTCTGTCTTTTCTATAAATATTTTCATGGCAACTGCTCTGGCGAGTTTTTTCCCCTGATGCCTGCTACTAGATTGGCTTCTAGGTCCCACCCACTTACGGTTGAAAAAGTACATGAGAATATTTATTTGTTCCAAATTAATTAACGCCTCCAAAACAAAACTGCTCTCATTTAACCTACATAGAGAAAACATTTCTGTCTGCCATCAGCATGGTTAACGCTCAAGAGCAACATAGTGTACCTTGTTGGCCTCACGTTTTCACTTGTCTTGACGTGGAGCGACTACATCGAATCAATAGCTGCATCTACTGCAAGGAAATCTGGTCACTGTGTCGTGCCAGAAATTTGTTTCAGTGCTTCATTTGGCCTCGAATTCATTCAGCTTTCTTGAAAGGATTTTTAAAAATGTTCCTCGTTCACTAATGCTCATATTTTCCCGTTTCTTCGCTTCTCAGACAGCGTTTTGACATTTCTTCCTCTTTTTCACTTTTGTTTTTACAGCTTTCATCTTTCACGGTTACACCCTTTTTTCCCCTATTTACAACCAATAAGTTCAGACTCTTGGTTTGCATACGGCACTCCGTCTGGATTTCAAAGTAATTATTTCTCCTCTTAATTTCAAGGCCGGCTTCGGGCTTATACTCATAGCATTTATGTGCAGGGACAAACCTTAGCCTCTGGCATAATTCCTCGTAAATTACTAGCTCCGCCTAGCTTTGTATTCTTTCACTGCAAGCTCGCGGCATTCACATTGTATGTGCAGCAAGCTGATCTGAAGGTGTCATCATCATCATTTTGATCTTGCATCATTATCATCATCATAACTATTATTATTATTAATAATATTATATAAGCTTTATTCTTCAATTATAATTTTTTGCCACTAATGCAGAG